GGCATTGCAGGGCATTTCTTCAGCAGTGAGGCCCGTATGCCCACGCAGAATTGTACAAGTGAAGAAAGCAGAACACAGCAACAGAAGAGTTGGTACATAGGAAACACATGCCAAGTTCATGGGGCAGCTGGAAAGATGCCTTGGGTTTTTGTTAACCTCTGTGTACAAGACAGGAAAGGAAAACACAAAGGACCGTGGAGTGGATGGGGGTTAAAATGTTCTCAAAGGTTTGCATTCCCGAGAGGTGTAAAATGATTTGTTTTAGTCTCTTTACAATGAAAAGAGGCATGTTGGTATTGGCTAAAAGAATAGATGATCAATAAACTAAAAGAGAAATTTGAATCATAATTCTGACCAGTCTAAAAGTAAAGCAGGAAGAAATTGAGTGACAACAACTGTAAAATAAGTAAATAATCCAATTAAAAGACAAAGATGGGGCCAGGCCGGAGTGATGGCTCAGCCATTAAGCAATTGCTGCTCTTCCAGAGGACCCAGTTCCCAGCATCCATACCAGATAGTTAACAATTGCCTGTTAACTCCAGCTCCAGAGGGTTCCACACCTCTGGCCTGCACAGGAACCTGCACTCACATGCACTCATCTACAAGCAGACACATGCACCTACACAGAAATAGAAACAATTTTTTTAAAGGTAAAAATGGATTGAACAAAAAAAAAATTAAAAAAAAAAAAAAACTCACTAGGTGTGCTTCCATTCAGGTGACACATTTAAAACACAGAGTCACAATCTGATGGTAATAGGACAGAGTAAAATATAGCCAGAAAATGATAATCAAAAGAAATCTGGCATAAGTCCAGAGTCTATGGAGCTGAGTTTTAAGGCAAGGAGCCTCACTAGGAGTGAAGAGGGCATTTGATAACAAGTAGAAACCAGCATGGAAGATAAAATCTGTGTGTTGCTAATAACCCATGGAGGGCAGAAATGCAAATAGAGGCTAAAGAGAAATTTAAAATTTTTTTAATGGTACCGGGAAGTTAGGACTAAGTTCTATACAACTTTTCAAAAATACACACGCCTTACTTATGTAAGGAACTTGAGGGAAATGGCAACCTCCGAACTTCATTTAGGGATACTAGGAAAATAACTGCAGAAGTCCAAGTTTGGTTCTGTATTCATCAACTTATCAAGGAAACTGAATCTATCAGTAAACTAATGAAAATTTTACAGTAGATGCTGTAAAAGCTTTAACTGTTAATTGAAAGCAAGGTTGGCCATATACAAACAGAATTTTAAGTTATGCAGCCATAGAATACAAGTCTGCCTGCTTCCAACAGAGTGGATTAGTCTTGAAAGAATAGCAAGGTATATGACCTCACTCACATATGGAGTCTAAGAAAGGATGAATTTATAGAAACAGTAGAATGACATTTACTGTTGCAGGGATTTTAGGGCAAAATCTGAGCCCCTGAAACTCCCGATGACCAATATGCCAATAAGAGAACTACTCAGAAATGCTCAGGAAGGGAATTTAGTCAGTATGGACACCTTGTGAAGGACAAAGATGTCCAGTGATCCCCAAGCCCATCTTTGGGGTCCTGATGTGAGGTTTATGTTTCAATAGAAGGTGAAGTGTATAAACAGTGCTAGCCAAGACATTGTACACTCAGTACTGAACATCACTGTCTGTCCAGCTTTGGTCTATCCTGTGAGCTTGACTGATAAGATACCAGACCACTGTGAGCTCTCTTCCAGAGAGTCAAGTTCCTTCTCTGCCTGGCATCAGGACTTTGGTCTTTTCTTTCCCTCAGCATGGGACTCGGGAATTTTGATTCACTGTGGTTCATTGTTTGAATAGTGTGTTAACTGGAAGTGAGGGCACTTTTAGAACATTTCCTCTCTGGAAAGAGCAGTCCTATTACCAGAGACAGATGGGGAAGGGGAGATGGGTTGGTTCGGGGGATCTAGTGTGTGGCATGGTGTCTGCATTTGCTAACTCCAAGTTTTACTCCTGTAACTTTATCCATGACTGCAAAATAAAGGCATCGTGGTAAGATTATGGAGAAATTATCTAATGATTGGGGCATTTATTTTACAAACTATTTGCACATTCAATCACCACAGTGTACATTTTGAAATCAGTTTCACTGGTTGACTATACATGTTATAAAAACAAACAAACAGGAAAAAAAAATCGAGCTGGAATAAGGAACAAAGTATAGAGTGACATACAGAGCAAACTAAATCCTCGAGCCTAAACAAAATGATAGGAACAGAACCGAGAAAAGTCAGGAAGAAGTTGGTGCTGAGCCCTCTCCAGACCCAGGGTAGAACCAACTTCTTCCTTCCTTCCTTCCTTCCTTCCTTCCTTCCTTCCTTCCTTCCTTCCTTCCTCCCTCCCTCCCTCCCTCCCTCCCTCCCTTCCTTCCTTCCTTCCTTCCTTCCTTTCTTTCTTTCCTTTTTGCATTTTTTACCTGATTGTTCCTTAGAACTCCACCTCACAGGTAGTTTCAAGGTTGTGTGACCTCCATTTTTCTATGCTTAACTGTCTCTACCACACTTGGGAGACAACTAGAACACACACTTATCATCTGTTAGAAAATCCACAGAACAGATAGACAATAACTTCCAAATGACTCTTTTTTAATGATGACCATTGGTTAGCATCCTCTCAACCACTCCAATCTGTCTCCCTTTTGGGATGACAGCCAGAAAGAGCTAGGGAAGACAACAGACTGGAGCTGGGTTGACCTGGGTCGACTCCTATGTCTAAGTGTTGCCATCCTGTGTAATGGACTTATCTGAAAGGTGACCTGGACATGACTGGGTCTGGGGCAATGCTCAACATCTCTAACTTTTGCTAATGGCACCATCACGAAGCTTATCAGAGACAGGAAGTTGTTTTGGTCAAGGGTAAAAGATAATGGATTCTGGGACTGGAGAGATGGCTCAGTGGGTACAAGTCCTTGCTGTAATGTGAGGACCAGAGTTAAGATTCTCAGCACTCAAGCGTTGGATGGACCACCTGTAATCCTAGCCCTCAGGGGCCAGAGGCAGGATCTCTGGGACAAACTAGCTGACTAGACTAGTGAAATTGCAAGCTCTGGATTCAAGTGGGTGGCCCTGCCTCATGAAGTAGAGATAAACCGAGGAAGGTGCTTGACTATCAACCTTTGGCCACTACATTGAATGTGCATACACATGAACTTCTATACATGCAAACACACAGCACATACATGCAAAGAAAAGGTCTGAGTCATTGCAGTTTCTGCTTAGCTACTGGGACACTCTGTGAAGTGAAATTCGAGTACTTGGCTGCATGAATTGCACTTGACCCTTCATTTGCCATGTGTTTCCTTCTCTGATCATCTGGTTCATGGTCTTCAACCATGGACCTCTCTCAGGAACACTCATCTAAACCTAAGGGTTCTACAGAGTGGTAACAAGCAACTTGCATGGCTACCTGCTGGCCCTTTTACTCTCCTGCTCCGGGTAGAATAAGTCCTGGGTTGCACGGATTAATGCTGATAGCATTTTCTTGGAGCAGAAGCTGCTGGCTAAGGAAGGTGCGGTGCACTAGGCAGAGAGAGAGAAAGGGCTTGATGCCAGAAGCCTAGAGGGCTAGTGAGTCAGACCTGTGACCCAGGAAACCCTATGTCCTGTGTCCTGAGGTTCCCCAACTTCTCAAACAAACACAATGAGATTGTCTGTACTGCTGACCTCAAGTGATTATGTAAGGCTCAAAATGGAAATCAGACTAGGGTTTTCCACAAAATGTGCGAAGATGCTGTGTAACATGTAACTCGTGATGTTAGCCTCAGAACCAGAGGATGCTCATTGCGCCCATGCTCGCTGCATACATATGTCTCATTTCTGATTTTAGACACTAGCTTTCTCATCTACAAAATGGAGAGAGTGTCACATTAATTCCTGTTATTAGCAGGAAAGGAACCAATGAACACAAACTGTGTTTGCTATTTCTGATAGATATTTTAAAAATTGCTTTTATCTTATGTGTGTGTGCGTGTTTTGCCTGTCTATATGTCTGTACCACATGTGTGTTCCTGGTGCCCTCAGAGACCAGAAGAGGGTGTCAAATGTCTTGGAACTGGGTCATAAGGCACTATGTACATGCTGGAAATCAAACTGGGTCCCCTGCAAGAGTTGCAAATGCTTTTAATGCTAAGCCATCTCTCCAGCTCCATTGATAGGTGTTTTCATTACAAAGTCTTGAGTAGTGTCAAATGGATTCTGGGATTTTAACCTACTGTCAAATCCTACAGTCTCTCCTAGAAGTCAATAGCATACCCCATGGGTCTTAGCAGATACAGTATTTCTGTCTGAAAAGCTTGGAGACTTTACAACAGGTCTTTGATTACGAACCAAGTCTGCTCAGGTGACAGGTACAATTGACTTTGCTGCCTGAGAGCTGCCCCTTTAGATCCTATTATGGTGACAGAAGATCAATACTGCCAAGAAGTGAGTGTGTGTAATCAGCCTAACTGAAGTTGGTTGGAATCCTTTGGTGTGGATGTCACAGCAGGAAGAAGGAAATGAAGAAGAAAGAAAAGCCACAGAGGCACCAGGAAGCTGAATTGCCCAGCCTTTAAGCAATTGTTGCCGCTTCCCTCTGCCCTCAGCTTCTGACACTTTCTGGATCCCCTCTCAAGGCCTATGCTATCTAGGACAAGTGTCTGTATTCTTCAGCAACCACATGTCCAGCAATGACAAAACTCAGGTTTCTGGGAGACCCAAAACTGAGCTTGGATAAGAAAGAACACAGTCATTCCTGACTCTCAGCTCTGCTAGTATGCTGATTCTTATGTGTGAAAACAATACATACAGTTGCTGTCAGCCACTGATATCCACAAACTTTCCTTCCCTAAAAGAACTCCGGTAACCATGAACTTTGGGACATATCTTGCGACACACGAAAACAACAGACTCAAGAGTGTCAGTTTGAGTGCAACAAAAGGGAACATGTGTCCCGGGAAAGAACAAACTCCAGTTTCAAACACCACTGTGAAGGACGTTCCAGCTTACCTACGGATATGGTCCATACAGCGATGATTTTCAGGAAGGCTTTGGTTCTGGAGTTGAAGCGGCTATGGTGGATGGGGTTCTGGATGGCGACATAGCGGTCCAGTGAGATGGCACAGAGGTGCATGATAGAAGCCGTAGAGAAGAGGACATCCAGGTAGATCCAGACTGCACAGAGCTTGCTGGGCAAAGGCCATCGGTACCCTGAGGTACAGAAGTTTAGCATCAGCAAGCAGGTTCATGCTTCCTTTGGCATGTGACCTATACCCTGGGATAACTGTTTACAACTTGGAGGGGGGCATTGGTGACAGGGAAAGAGATTACAAGACTTTCAACATTTGAGCAAATAGCCAAGTGTGCTTAATTACACTATGATGGCACTGATAGGTGAGTGTATGTTTGGGTGTTTCTGGCCTGTGGAATTATATTAGCAAAAGAGGAACTTGCTTGTTCCTATTGACTGTCTCTTTCCCCTCCACCTGGCTGTAAGCTCCTTGAGCCACAGGAGAGGCTAGGCCCTTCCCCTGAGGACCTCTAACTGCCAGGCTACACCCATAGCTGGGAAGGGAAAGGTACAGCCTGGCAGTTAGAGGTCCTGGGGGGTGGGGGGTGGGCTGACCACCTTGTGATTCAAGGGGCTTACACTGACAAAGCCATTTTTATGTAACAGCTTATCCGAAGTTATGTCCTGAGCCCCTTAATTGAAGTACCACTCACATCCATCCTTCGTTTATCCACACAGAGTTAAGGTCCTTATGTTTAAGGTAACCTTAGTCATTCTTAGATGTGTCCAGTCTCACACATGCGGACAATTAGTGATGGTGTGACAAAATGGCTTCAAGTCTACCTCTTGCTTATGATTCCTGGTACCCTAATGTTTTATTAAACTCAAATTTGAGGCATGTGAGAAACACTGGTGACACTGAAGAAAATCAAGGGTGTCTAGCCTTAGAGCCTTGTCTCAGAGCAGTGTTCAAACTATTGGTGACAGCTAGTTTTCTTAGTTGGTTCCTTACAGTGGGGACGCGGATCCACCTCTGGCCATTCTGATCCAGGAAGGCTGGAGTAGGCTGGAAAATGTGCAATTTTCAAAAACTTAGAAATCACACACAGATGACTATAATATTGGAGCCTCTCCCAGTAGCAGTTGCTTGGGGGCAAAGATACCCTTCCTCCCTCACCCCCCCCCCCCCAGAACCAGCGTCTCAATCAGCCAGTAGAACTTTGGGTCCAGTCAATCATTCTCTCTGTAGGGTGTCTAGAGGTGGGCCCTCAGTATCAAAGGGTTCTAAAAACTTCCCAGAGTCCAGTGTAGGAATCTTGGCAGATGTTCCGCCGTCTGTCTGAGGAAGACAGAGGATGCCTTGAAGCTGTAAAGGAAGTGTCCTGTTCCTCTCCATATGTTTTGGAGAGCATCACTTGAGTAAATCGTTAATTAGTTTGGCTAACAGAATGAGCAATGGTATTACATCTGCCTGTGAATGGGGAGGGGAATTAGATCAGTTCTTTATAGAGTAGTAGAGCGCAAATTGAGCGAGCCCTCACTTAATGCACAAGTCTTATCTCCTCCATGCTGCCCCTAGGGGTATTCAGAAAAGGAGCTCTGCGGGACCTAAACCTAATCCCAAACCTTCAGGAGCTAGTCTCAGCAAACAGTTTGAACTGAAAGGATCCTATTTTATTATTAGCCCTGAACCCAGAAATCGGCTCTGCTCTTGGGAACTGATGTTGGCTCTTGCTGGGCGGGAGGTAGAGGATGGTGGCGGTGGGGGGAGTCTTCCCTGAAAGAAAGCATACCCTTCTCCCCTCAAAGTTTACTCCAAGGAGTAGATTTGTGACTTGGCTGGCCCAGGACCAGCCCAATAGTGTCTAGTCTATTCTGGGCGGGTGTAGGCTGCACACCCAGAAGTTATCACTAGGGGGCAACCTTGATCTGAGACCAAGGGACCTGCTGCACTTCCTACGTGGCCAGGGCTGCCCCTGCCGCTCAACAGCTCACCCCGCCCTCCTGCTGTGGTTTGGGTTCTTGCAGAGTCACCCCCCCCCCAAACCTGCAGTAGAGTTTGAGCCTCCCACCCCACCCCCGCGAGGGCTGGCTAGGGTTTTAGGAAGTAAAAGCCCCTCCTCAGTGGCTGAGAAACGATAAGCAAATGTAATGGAATTATTCCGATGTGTCAGTTGAATGTTCAAGCCAGGGCTGGCCTTTACAAACTGATACTGACTACTCCTGAATAATCTCCTTCATTCTTGGAGTTTTCAGGTCTAGGTTCATACTGTAGCCTCTAGGATTTGGCCAGAAAACCCTTTAAAGGTATCTCTAAAACTGCCTGTAGCTCTGGTGACTCGTGAGTACGTGTGCCAACAGTCTGAATATTATTTCCTTTGCTCTCTGTTAGGGAACTCTGGCTGTATTACTCATAATTTGAAAGAATATCACGTTCTGCTCCCCCATCAAAGCTGTCCCAGTGTTTGCCGACTTCCTGGGAAGTTTGACACTGTCAAACTGGGTTGAGAAGAAAGCAAGATTAATAGCTTTCCGTTTGTGTTCCACCCTCCTCCAAAACCAGACAGGAGGAGTTTCTGTGTGTACCTTTTTAAAGGCTTGAGAGCATAAGTCAAAGGCTTTCTTCCATATTGGCTTTTCTGGGCAAGGGGGACAATTAAAACCAGAGTAACTCATATATTGTAATGGAGACTCTGAATATTTTAAGAGTAAACCCACTCCAGCACTAATGGTCTCTCTGCAAATGTTCCAAGGTAATCGCGAAGGTTTTTTACCACTCCATTAGAAGTGCTGAGTACTGTGTGACAAAGACAAAACCATTCTGTCTTGAGACTGGCAAAGAAAAGCAAAACTCACATGGACACAGAATGAAAGTTAAATTGTTCTCATGGAGTTTTGGAATACAGATAATAATTTCTCTACAAAATTTATTTTAAAGCTCAAAAACTCACCAATGATCATGTACCAGGCTCTCTCTCTCTCAAGTTAAACAGAATTTTAAGACTAAAACAAAGCTCCTGGTGTATTTCTTTCCTGAGCCTCAGGCCCTCTGCAAACAGCCATGCACATACATGCTTTTTGTGACTACACTGAGGGGCAGCTGACATGCTAACACCACTCACCATACAAGATGGTTAACATGGACACAGGCATGACAAGGAAACCCAGCAGCATATCAGCAATGGCGAGTGACATCAGGAAATAGTTGGTGGCATTCTGTAGCTTTTTCTCTAGGGACACTGCCATGATGACCAGTATGTTTCCAGCAATGGTTAGGATAATCACTACAGCCGTCAATAAAGCAGACCAGTTTTTTTCCTGGAGATGAAGAATGGACAGGCATGTTGGTGGGAGGTACCCTTCGCAGGAAAGGTTGGTCCGGTTTTCGGCATCAATTGTCCAGTTTGATGCATCAGAGCTGTTAGCAATTCTGGAGTTGAAGTCGCTATGGTAGAGCCTGGAGTCACCATCTAATTGCATTAAAGAGTTTGGAATTGAGCTCAGGGAAGTATTGTCTTCGCAAAGAATTTCCATGTCGAAGCCGGAAGTTGTAGCAGATGAAGCGTGGAAAGACTAGCAAGTCATAGCCTTGGCTCATCATTCATCTTCATGTCCTGGTGCTAGGACGTGTGGAAGCAGAGACCATGTGTAGCTCCTCAGGCTGCCTTTTCCTCTCCCATAGTAAGAGTTACAGAAGTGTGACTTGATACTGCCTCCCTTCACAGTGCTAGGAAGTGTCCGCGGTCGAGCTATAACTTCTCAATGAAGCAAAGGCAAAAAAACACTTTTGAGCATCTGGGAACACAAACGTGCTCCTGGTTAAGGAAGAAAAGTTTTGTAACCGGTGGGAATCTGTTTCAGCGAATTCTCGGGTTAAATGTGCCGATTTCACGAGTTCAGCCATCACAAAGTTAAAACAGCATGCAGTCCGAAATTGGTAGGGAGGGCTGAGTGCCCTCTCTATTAAGGAAGTCCGTTAAAAAAAAAAAAAAAAAAAAAACAAAAAACAAAAAAAACATGCAGCGTTAATCCCATAGTAATTGGATATACTTGGATTACCCTTCTTAGTCTCAGGCAGAATCGCCGCAGTGTCGATCAGGAATTTCAGCTTGAGTGTATGGCTTGGTAATTGAAAGGAAAACGCCTCCCGAAGAGCAGCAGAGAACTTTCCACTCCAGAAATTCTCATGGCAATGACGGCATCGTGGCCAAGCGTGACTTCAACCAGAAAGAAAATCCCAAAGCAGTAAAAGACAGCAGCCTCAGAACTTACATTCACTGTCACCAGGGTCCGCTATCCTGTGACTCTCCTATCGCATGGTGGTGACTGAGCTGGTGTGGAATCCCCTCTCCTTGAGCTTCCAGCAGCATAAGATAATAGTAATTCGATTTCTGTTTCTGCTGACTTCAAAAACTGCACGCCAGTTCCAGCAGTTGAGGTCTGTGCTGGCTGCCTTTGGCCACTGCTCCGCTCGCTCGGTTCTCCCTCCGCCTCAGCAGGAGCTCAGTGAGGAATCCGTCACCGGGAGCCCCTCTCAAAGTCACACAAAAGAGCCGCAGGGAAAGTAGGGAGGGCTGTCTGCACCAAGTGGCTCCCGGGTTTCCAGGAGAACAGGCAGCTCCAGTCTGTCTCCTTTCTCAGACCTCCCTCTGTCAACTGTGTCGTAACCTGCAAGGTGGTGACAGCTAGGAAGGGCGGACCAAACAGCCCCCCTCCCCCCGCCCCATTCTTCTTTCCGCTACAGGTTCACATTGAGAACTTTGGCTTTAAAGAGAGAGAGGATGGAGACACAGAGTAGTGGATAGATTCCTAATAAGGTGGTCTTCACGGCAGTGGTATTTTAGGTTGAGGGTGAAGAGGGAGGAGAAAGAAGTCAAGGTTAGAAAAGTGTGTGCTGGGATGTGGGAGCATCCAGCACTTCTATCCAAGCCAGTGGTGCTGTGTCCAGGAGGGATGGCTGACATTGGCAACATGAGTTCAGAGGAGCCCGGAAGTCTGTGTGGACAACTGATAAACCATTAGTACAATGTTGAGTTAGTTAAACGTATTTAAACACACACACACACACACACACACACACACACACACACACACACACACCATTGTTATGTGTATGCACCACTTAGCCAGCTTATTTTTCTTCATCCGAAAAATGTCACCGGGAATTAATTGAAAAATTCATGTTAGAAATTGAAGGGTTTTATTTTACTTTTGTTTTTTATCCAGAAGTGACACCGATGGCTCTCTCTCAGGTGGTTCTTAAAGGAAGACACATCTCTCCAGAAAAGAAAGTGGACTATTCCCCAGTGTGAGGGGCTTTCTGGGGTTCTGTCTACCACATTCTTCTCTTGTTCTCTGCACTCCCCATTCAGTGATCCAAGTCCTTCAATGTGTTGCCAATCACCCATTCCTCGTGGCAGTACCACAGCTAAGCATAGTAACCCAGGTCACCTTGTCACTGTCCATTCTGAGCCTCTCTCTTAGGGCTTCTTGCCACACACCCTCCAGGCTCATGGAACCATCCACCCAGTCCTTCCTTCCATCTCCCTGCCTATCCCTCTAGACTCCCAGCATTCCTTCCCACCTCCAGCACCATCTCCCAGCTCTTCTCTGTTCATCCCACAGTGTGGAGCCCTTCTGTTCTTCCTGGGCAGGCACTTATTCCCCAGATCACCTGCCTGTCACTAGGCTGCTGGTCTTCTGCATCCAATGCATGGTCTGTGGGGGCATAACTGTGGAGAGCAGGCATGGGAGTCACAATCCCTTGGTTCAGAATCCCAGCTTTGTAACTCAATACATCTCAGCTGTCTTGAGAGCCCTGGTGTTCTCCATTGTCAACCAGGGTGATGTTAGCTTCCTCCCTGGGTTGCAATGAGCCATCAGATGACATGTATGCATGTCTGGCTAGTAGCATGCTCTGTCTACACTGTACACTAGCCATTTTATTCCTATTAAAATTATTATTGATTGTAGGAAAATTCATTATCACTCTCTTGTCTACATTCCTGATCACTTTCAGGGGTACACAACTCCTTTCTTAGTTTGCTCATTTTCTGGTGTTCCCCTACTTTCGGGCCGAAAGTTCCATGGGCAAGCTGACTGCAGTCTGAACCTTCATGCTGCGGACACGTTCATGTTTGTGTTTGTATTTCCTCGAGACTGTAGCGCTCTCTCGCTGCCTTTCTCGCTGAACCCACCTTGGGGATTTCCAAGGTGCACTTGTTACCTCCATGACCTTGATTAAGCTCTTTTATCTCTACGCTTAGCTTCCTCATCTGGAGGAAAAGGAATAGGATTAGCCATACATCAACTTCAGAGGGCTAATGTGAGAGCTAAGCAAGTTTATAGATTTGTCTGGCATATTATAAACCCACATGTTTTTAGTCTTGTTGGATTTCCTTTTAGGGAGCTTGCTGTGAACTGCGCTTCCCCATTGGAGGCAGAGACTTGCACACTGTCGTCTTTCATTTGAAAGTTAATCATATTGAGTTCGAGACCCATAAATGCAAGAGGTGTGGGCATCTTCTTTATGGTTGGGTGGATGCTTTTTCTTTAGATACACATGAAATAAAAATGTTAGTCACTGTGTAATGTTCTTTTGGAGACTTGGCGGCACAGGTCTGTAATCCCACCTATTTAGGGGGTTTGAGGAGTAGGAGACAGGTTCAAGGCTAGTCTTGGAAAAAAATAAAATATTTTAAAAAAAGGGATTATTTGCAATTTTTGTACAGTTTGGTGGGCAAAGCAATATAGACATGATCTATCTATCTACTATCTGCTGATAATAGAATGTGAGTCAGATTGGGTAGGAAGGTATTTGCATTCCTATACACTGGACACAATATTGGGACTTCATTATGACATTTAAATAACTGTATAAATACAACATGCTTTGACTATATTTGGCTCTAGCTATTCTAAGTCCAAGAGTCTTTTCGAGTTTCCAGTGTGTTGGCGGCTGTGGGGGACACTGGAAAGTGCAGCCCAGCTCCCTCTGCAGGACTATAGTACTTAGTCTTGCTACTGGGAGAAGTATTAGCAGGTGGTTCTCAGCTATTACACTCAGCTGTACTATGTGGCCATGCTATTTCCCTGAGGGCAGTTCCCATGTGGTGACATTAGTGACACTAGGTTCACCTTTGCTGGTAGGCTGGATAGCTGTCAGTGGCCTCCTTAGAGGGGCTTCTCACATGAGTCATAAACAGCCCCCCTCTCAAGCCCTGTCATCTGTGTCTGTGTCCCATCCCCCACTGCTCCCCTATGGGTGCTGATCTGGGAGTCTTCTTCAGTGAACCCTCCTACACAAAGTCCTCTGCAGCGAACCCTCCTACACAAGCCTGCCTGATTTGGCTTCCTGGGAACTCAGTCTAAGATGTAACGTTCTCAACTGTGTTTTAATGCTTTTTACACCTGTGGATGAGCCCATCCTACAGAGAGCAGAAAGAGAATTGTTGCTTAAGTTAGTGAACACTTTGTGTCCCCCCCCCCCATTGTGTACCAGAGATTTTTATTGATGAGTTCACTTTCTTTTTAAAAATATTTTATTTTTAAAATTTGTTTTACATGCTAACCACAGTTCATCCTCCTTCCCCTCCTCTTCCTTCCTCCACCTCCCCCCCCACCCTCACCCACTCCCTAGAAAGGGTAAGACCTTCCATGGGTAGGCAACAAAGCCTGACACATGAAGTTGAGGCAGGACCAAGTTCCCATCCCTCCAGGCTGAGCAAGGCATCCCACCCTATGGAATGGGCTTCAAAAAGCCAGATCATGCATTAGGCATAGATCCTGGTCCCACTGCCAGAAGTCCCACAAACAGACCAGGCTGCAAAACTGTTGCCCACATTTAGAGGGCCTGGTTTTGTACCATTCAGGATCCTCAGCTGTCGGTCTATAGTCTGTGAACTCAGGAAAGTTCAGGTCAACTGTCTCTGAGGTTTTCCCATCACTATCTTGACCCCTGCCCCTTGCTCATATAATCCCTCCTCCCCCTTTTTGACTGGACTCCAATAGTTCGGGCTGGTAACAGGATGTGTGTCTGTGCATCTGCTCCCACTAGCTTGTGGAGAAGGTTCTATAATGACAGTTGGGGTATTCACCAATCTGATTACGGGAGAAGGTTAGTTCAGGCTCCCTGTCCACTATTGCCAGGGTTCTTAGCTGGGGTCATCCTTGTAGCTTCCTGGGTATTTCCCTAGCACTAGGTTTCTTCTGAGCCCCATAATGGCTCCTCCATTGAGATCTCTCTTTGCTCTCCCACCCTTTCCCTCCCCACAACTGGACCATCCAGTTCCCTCATGTTCTCCTCCTCCATCCCCTCCCCTTTACCACCCTTCCCCCCAGTTTACCCAGGAGAACTCATCTATTTCCCTTTCCCAGAGCAATCCATGTGTCCTTAGGATCCTCCTTGTTACCTAGCTTCTCTGGAGCTGTGGATTGTGTTCTGGTTATTCTTTGCTTTACATCTAATGTCCCGTGTTTGTCTTTCTGGGTCTGGTTACCTCACTCGGAATGTTTTTTTTTCCCCTAGTGTTCCATCCATTTGCCTGCAAATTTCAATGGTTTTACAGTTGAGTAATATTCAATTTTCTTTATTCATTCTTTGGTTGAGGGACATCTAGGTTGTTTCCAGGCTCTGGTTATTAGGAATAATGCTGCTATGAACATAGTTGAACAAGTGTCCTTATGGTGTGATTGAGCATCCT